CTTAGATATCCACAAATAAATCAATAAAACGTTTTAAAGCCTTTTGAATACTTTTCCATGTTTGACATTTCACAGCAAAAAAGGGTTAGAAACAATTTTAGTTGTCATGGAAACCCGAAAACAACCTCAGCCATTTAGAATTTCTCGGTACTTTTAAAAATGCTAAAGCTTTTTTTTTAATACAGTTATAGTAATCAAATTTAAACTTCTTATATTTCAGTATTTTATATTAAAACTGACAAGAAACAAGGTAAGGAATCTAATCTAGTATTTAAAATATATTTTTGTTGTTCTTTCCCTTGAAACAGTCATCAGATTGTCGCAACATGGTTACTAAGATCGTATCTTCTAAAGATTAATAGTGCAAGTTGGTTACTTTACTAAAATTATAATTCTGAAGGGCTAGGAAAAAAAATAAAATTGAATCGTTCTTCGCGAAACTGTTAATTTTATCTGAAAAATTATTCAAACAATTTCTCTGTTATATCAAGATAAATAACAAACAAACGAAACAATATCACATACAAATTACTTCCTCTCAGTTTGTTTTCATGTTGGAAAATAATTATAGTACTTTGATGCATTGAAAAACTGCAATATGTCAAGTAAAGCAAGGTATTTTGAACACAGCATTCAGTTTTAGTCTAAATGCACGTGTTACTAATTTTTGTTTTAATCACAATAGTTTAAAATTCGATCATTAATGTCCTCCCTATGTTAGTGATAAAGTTTAAATGTAAAGTAAATAATCCTCTTCAGATATAGCGATTCATTGGCAGATTAAGCAGAGTTCAAATGTTTCTTGACCTCGGCAGACGAAGGGAACTTGTGGTCAGCACTTTGCCCAGACGCATTTACTTTCCCTTTCCTATCAAAGCTGGGTGGACTCATGGACGTTCTAAAGACTTGTGCCCGGATTCGAACTCTAATTTTTCGGTTAGCAGACTAAAGATCTACTGCTTAGACCACGCTGTCACGTTAATATTTGCGTTAGCAGTATTGCAGTAAGTCTCGAGTTCGAAGCCAGGTTCAAGTCAGTAGACCTTCCCTGAGTCCACCCAACTCTGATGGGTACCCAACTCAAGCTATGGAAAGTAAAGGCGGCTGGACATGGTGCTGACCAAACTATCGCTTCATATGCCGAGGTCACAGAAACAAGTGAACTCTACTTCACTTGCGCTATAGACCGTCAGGTTTGAAAAGGTACTCTACTCTCTACTCTCTCTAGTGTTGCTTACTTTTATGTTTATCATCTTAATTAATTAGCAGACAAGTTACGGCCCTTCATAGATGCGTGTATCTTAAATGCCAGTATTCAAACAGTCAATTAAACGCGAATAAATAAATATAAACAATAATTATATTGCAACATCAAATTAGAAAATAAATTCTGCATTCAATCGTCATACTTTCATTTTATAATTTAAAAAGTTCAGAGTGCAAACCATCTAGTTATATCATTTAAGGATCACAAATTAATAGTGTTGCGTAATAAAGTCAGCTAGAGATGAGACTATTATGTTAATTTTATAAAAGAGCTTTAGACAGTCGCTTAACTAAACCAAGTCGATGTAAACTTTGAACTTCAAACACTAACGTTTTGTTCGCTTAACTTCTTTTACAGCTATTTCTAATTGCTACTATTTTTCTTCGTGGCTGGAAGATATTTTACTTGAGGGTTACACATTACTTTATACAGCAATTCCGTTAAGTTTACGATACCGTGTCGTGCTAACTCAGTGGTTCCCAAACTTTTTCGAGTGGCGACCCCCTTTTATAAAAAGTAAGTGACCCGCGACCCCCATAGAATTAAAAAGCCGAAATTAGTATGGAAATTAATAAGCACTAAAATAAGATTTTCTAGTAGACTTTCAATATGAACTACTCTTCATAACTGTTTTAATAGCATGAGTAAAATTGCATGCTATTTACTAAACATTGGCGGTTAAGTTTTTGTCAACGCCAACCTATGTCATTATCTACATTCAATTTATTTCTTAATTTTGATTTTAATCGGAGAAAAGCAGACAATGGTGAAAGCTTGATTTCAATAAAAATGTGTTATTTAACATCTACGGACATGTCTGCTATAAGCCGCTGACTAGTATTATTAGGCAGAGATATTTGTTGAATCTTTACTGCACTGAAATCCTCAAGAATTAATATCACCATCTTCAACATGCAGCGTTTGATGAGATTTTCTCCTATTGTGTTTTTTTTTTTGCTTGACGTTTTTTATCGCGAATTCATTTGATGCTTGCACTAATGCTGTGTTTCCTTGGCTTCAACCTCCTGTTTAATCAAGTCTCTGAAGTTTGCAACCAGCTTCATACCGACGAAAGAACTCCATATCTCTTTTGGTGTGTTCCGAATGACTCGTCTCAAAATGACGTTTTAGTTTTGAAGATTTCATTAACTCGTGACTGAGAACAACTTTGTACAGTACGCATGGCTTCTTCTCTATTCCATTTCCAGTGATGTTAGTAAAGCCGAATTTCAGATACTCTTCTAAATATTTATGTTTTGTTTCTCATTACTATGGTTTAGTATACCAGTTGGCGACCCCCAAGAAAGCCCTTCGCGACCCCCAGGGGGGTCGCGACCCCCAGTTTGGGAACCCGCTTGCTAAGTGTTTGATAAAAGTTAACTTCGTGAAAAATATTTAAAGTGTGGCAAGTCGACTTTGTGTTACAATAGATTTCAAACTTGATAGAATTGTAACCTGTACACGCGAACACTCCCAGTCATAGACGTAAGATACACAGAAATACGTAGACATGCGCACTCAAGCAAACACAGGAAGACATACACTTCTAAATATTTTTACAGCAACACAGTCACACATACTAAAGCATACTGTATAACAGTAAAACAAAACAAAAATTGCTATTAGTTCCGAAGAAAACTTTATTTTGAAAGAAATATGTCTATAAGAAAAAAAAATAAGACCTACATATCTTATTCGTGAAGAAAGAGGAAAATGTATGTTAATGTGTTATTGTTTAATTTAAAATATAATTTAAAATTAATAATTTTAATTTTATACTGTTAAGAAGTTAGAAATAGGAAGTTAAAGAAAAAAATGAAGAAATCAATTAAACTCGTCACATTTTCAAGATGATGTAATCTCCATGTCCACTGCCTACGGCATTTCCTCTGTAACGAAATTTACAACATAACTAATTAATAAGATCTTTTATAACATTTCTTTATGCATAATACACACAGCACATTCAAGTCAATAAAATTCTCTGGCGACCAATAGAACAATGATAAAGAGTATGTATTTGATTTCGACATTTAAAAGATATAGTATGTTCACATTTTTTTTTTCAACCAGCTTTCATTTTCATAACGTCATTCGGGTGTTGAGTGGACTGTTTGGTGGTTTTTGTGCTTTAATCATTTGGGTTAGTAGTCGTGTACACCACCATCCTACCACGCCGTTTACCTTTCTTATTAGACTTATTACTTAATATGGGAAATTGCTAGATTAGACATACCGTGTTATTTTAAGACTTTAACTAGACAAAAGAGCAGATAAATTGTAAAGAAATAACGCTGGTCTCATTCCCTATCTGACTTTACTGTTTTATCCTTACGCCATCACTAGGTCGGATGTCACTCCGTGCGGTTACTCATTGTGTCAGCCCCTCCGTAAACTACGGATATTTGATGCAATTAACAATTAGGTGTTACCCCGATCCCGGAATGTGTTTACTTAATGGTGTATACAACCCTAGAAATGCACACATTCTCGATGCAACTGGAGATATTTTCTTTTGAAGTTACTATCTTGGATACTGTCATACCTTACTGTCCCATCCCCCGTCCCTCGCCATGTAACGCTACTGTTTTACCTCGTAATTTCTAAAACACCTTTCTCATTAAATATTTACAATGACACTAAATGACTATACAAAAATTTCGATAACTTTCATAATCCATGCTTTTAAACAATTGTTTTCGATTCTCGGAAATACAAAACCGATCATCATAATGCCCGATATAAAATTTATTTTAACATACAATCTTCATAATGCCCGATATAAAAAAAATTTGTCTGTATGTTTAGCAGATGATGTTTATGTTTGCGTTAGCGTTTGAGTTGGTTGAAATGCTATTTCTCTTTCTATTGGTGTTGTGTGTTTACTATGTAGGTTCCTAAATGTGTCACTAATGTCTACCGTGTTGTGCTCTCTGTCACATTTTATTCTATAGTGCGGTGGTTGTAGTTGTTGTCAGGTATCTACTTTGAATTTTCCCCTATACTCTTTCTGTTTGATTTGAAGATAGCTATTGTGTCTGTGCAGAATTGTGTGACCAGAATGTCACGTATCTTTTTTAGACTTTCCCCTATGCTGTTTTTTTTAAAGAATTGTTCTAAGTCTGTCCTTCCTTAGTGTAGTGTTTTGAGGGTCACTAATTACTAGTGTTGAGTAACAAAGCCATTTAGAGATGAGACTGTTGTGCTAATTTTACAAAAGTTCTTTATACCGTTGCTTCACCAAGTCAATGTAGCTTTGAAGTTCAAACACTAATGTCTTTTTCTCGTAACGTCCATTGGAGGTATGTCTAATCGATGACATAACCCTTCGTTTCTTGAAGACGTTTTACTTGCGGTTTACACATGACTTTACACAGCAATTCCGTAGGTTTCACGTAGGTTTTCCGTAAATTTCACGTAGGTTTACCGTAGGTTTCACGTAGGTTTTGGACATCGTGTCGTGCAACAAGTTTGACAAGCCGACTTGGCGTAGTGAAAGATTTCATTCTTGATACAATTCTAACCTACACACGCGCACACATTCAGCCATAGACATAAGATACACCAACACATGCAGACACACTCAAAAAAAAACTCAAACACAGGCTGAGATAAACAGATACATATGTGTACATAGACACACATACTAACACATACAATGTATTACAGTAAAACAAAAATTGTTAGCAGTTCTGAAGAAAACTTTATTTTGAAAGAAATTTGTCGAGAAGGAAAAAAAATAAGACTTTCAGAAGAAAATTCGCAAAGAAAGAGGAAAATGTGTGTAAATTTGTAATCTAAAATTTAATTTAAAATTAATAATTTTTAAGTTTAAAATGTTTAGAATTTAGAAATAGAAAGTTAAAGAAAACAATGAGGACATCAGCTGGTCGTCACATTTTCAAGATGACGTAAACTCAAATGTCCACTGCTACGGCGAATCTTCTGTAAAGTAAATTTAAACATATCCAATTATTATTTACATTGTTTATGTATAATACATACAGTACATTAATAACAATAAAATTCTCTGGCGGTCAATAGGCAAACTGATAAATCTACGTTTTTCATTCTGACATTTAAAAGATATAGTATGTTCAACTCTTTTCCATGTTCTTAACGTCGTTAAGGTGTCTTTAAGAGTTGAGTGCAGAGGCGTAGCGAAGGGGGGCAGGGGGGTACATATGTCTCCGTGCGCCGACCTTTTTGCTTTATAAATATAAAAAATATATGAGGAGAGGGGGGTGTAGAAATCGAAAATTTGAGGGAGGGGGGTGGAAATCGAAATTTTGAGGGGGGAGGGGGTGTGCAAATCGAAAATTGAAAGGTTGATCCCGAGGGGGGCGCCCAATTGAAAGTTTGTACCCGGGCACCGGGAAGGGTCGCTACGTCTCTGGTTAAGTGGACTGTTTGGCGCATTTAGGGCTGTAATCTTTTGGGTTAGTAGTCGTGTACACTACCATCCTACCACGCCGTTAAACGTTCCTATCGGACTTATGACTTAATATGGGAAATTGCTAAATTAGACATACCGGGTTATTTTAAAGCTTTATCGAGACAAAAGAGAAGATTTATTGTAAAGAAAGAAAGATGGACTAAGGCCCTGTCTGACTTTACAGTTGGATCCTTATGCCATCACTAAGTCAGATATCACTAGGTATGGTAACTACATAAGTCAGCCCCTTCACCAACAACGGATATCTGATGTATTTCAACCATAGACAATTTGGTTTCACCCCAATCCCGAATAGGTAGTTTTAATAATGTATAGAATCGTGAAAAAGCACACATTCTGTTTGAAACTTGCGATATTCTGTTTTGACGTCATCATCTTGGATTCTGTCACCATGTGCTGTCCGCATCCACGTCCCCCACCATGTAACGCTACTGTTTTGTTCCATAATTTCTCAAACACCCGTCTCCTTACAACGTTACAATGACACTTTACAATTACAAGTGCCATAACTTCCATAATCCATGCTTTTAAACAATAGTTTTTGAATCTCGGAAATTTAACACCAATCTTCAAAATACCCGATTTTAAGTTTATTTTAATATACAACCACTACGGTCTACACACAATTTAAAAATTAAAACTTTTGATTTTTGCATTCTTCAGTATATGTACATAAATATGTTTTAGTTTTAAATCGGTTAAAGTTATACAAGGATTTCTGCTAAAGCATTTCGTTTCAACGCAATAAACACAATAAACACAATACACCTTATGAGTAAAATGAAAACACCTGAATGTTTTAAAAAAAATCCATAGATCTCTGTTTAACTAATAAATTTACATCATCGTACCTTTTCGAAGTTTCGTCCATTAGCCTTTCTTGCAATGCTTTCCTAATTTAAAGGGAGAAATTTTAGTTTGTAAGAAATATGTTCGTTTATATTAAACAAAAATGTCACAAGCATAATTTCCCCCTTGATAAAAAATAATTAACAGTGAACAGGTTCTATGATCTAATGCATTTTAATTAGTATTTAACCTGATTTTTATGCAATTCAATGGAACTAGGTTGTTTAATATCAAGTAAAATGTTTAGTATTATTTGGATCATTTATTAATATCAGGTTCAGTGAACTAAATTATTTCAAGACTTTTTTGCCTGTTTTTAGTTTTGATAACAATTTGTTTAATTGCAACAGCTTAATTGAACACAATTTTAGCCGTTAATCATTAAGGTTAAACATTTAAACATGATTTAGAAAAAATAACTTTACTTGTTGTTCTGGTAGTTGAAGCGGCGTTTGTAGTGTCTTGTTCTGTAGTAGCTGGTTGTGTTGTTGTGTCCGGTGGATCTACAATGTGAGAAATAAATTTAAAAAATGGGCTGCTGTTGTTCTCTATTTCAAACGTCTTCTCTCATCAAATACACAAAGAAAATAAATAAACGGACAGGATGGTAAAACCGAGTTACAAATCATCAAAATGTGTAGAAATCTCGTTATAGATTTTTTAAAGAGAATAATTTATCCTTTATATTTCGTATACGATACACTGGTGAGGTGTAAAACGGTAGAAATTGTCAAAATTTCATTCAATATTTTTGCACGATTACAATATTTCCTCTATACTCTGAATACGAAAAAGAGAAAAAGTAAGTATTGGAAAAATGTATAATAAACTTTTCTGTAAGCCTATTGCCCTGACGGTGCAATACCAATGCTGTGTCGTGCCAATATAAAAGAAATTAAGTGAGGTTTCTCCAGCTTTAATCAATTCTAATTTTTCAATTGTTTTGTCTACAGGGGAATCCAAGTATCTTTCCTTCTAAAAGTTGTAGATGCGCTATAAATATTACTATTTAAAAATAAGGAACTTACTGAGATCGCAGAGAACCGAACCAACTCCTCCATCATTTGAGGTCGTATCGACTGTAAGATCGTGATTAAAAAATTGCAGTACGCATGTGCCATTTTCAAATATATATCCAGCGCAGTACGGCTGTGTTACTGATCGAAGAGCACAATCCTATTTTAAGGAAACACGAAGATATACTTACAAATGTACACATAGAAGCTAGTGTCCTCTAAGGACACAATACTGACATTTAATCAATAAAAAATAAGTCATATTCTTAAAAAATCTAAAAACAAATTAAGGAATAATAATTAATAATCAATTAGAAATACCGCATGAGTAGTTTGTATTGGGTCGGCCGCATTGGGAGATGGAATATAGGCTGGGCAATTTCCTGTAAAAAATATAGGTGTATATATATATATATATATATATATATATATATATATATATATATATATATATATATATATATATATATATATATATATATATATATATACATATATTTATATATATATATATATATATATATATATATATATATATATATATATATATATGGGTTTTGGAATGGGTTTTGATAAAGGTGGGGGGAAAAAAAGAAAAATTACATTTGACTGAAAACCATGAATACAAATATCAAAACTTTTTGTATTTGCCTGCTGTTTTTTTTTTAATAAAAAAGCTGGGTAGAAAAATAATATTCCGTGAGTTTGTTTCCCAGAAGGCATACCTTGTAAGAGACGGTGTAATACAGAATAATTATTATCATACCTGAGGTGTTGGTACAATAGGTTACACTCGACATATATCCATCCGAGGAAGTATCGACAGGCGTGGTTAAAGAAACCACTGTACACGCCGCCCCATCCCAAAAAAAGAGATAGCATCTCGGCGTCGACACACAGTCCTGGTAACATTGCTGCCGGGTCGAATTTGATAAAACAAATTTATTATTGTGTGTGTACAAATGCATGCCAATTTATCTAAGTAATTTAAAAGCTATTAAATATTTCTGAAAAATAAACAGAAACAAGTCGAAATACTTAATCATTACACAGTTTTAACACAACATTGCTGTGTTAGAAGATTCATCGGGTGTCTGGTTGGTGCTATTACTGAATATAGAAGGAGGCTTGGGCGCAAGGCTTAAAAATCCTAACCCATAAAAATAAGAAACTGTTTCAAAACACAAATACATTAGTCAACGAGAACTTTGGAATTAAGATTTTCCTCAAGTAGAGCTTTGACGTGTGGAAAACCTTCGTGAATCCGGCGTGCTGACAAAATTTCCGAAGACCTAAACAAAAACCCAAATACAGACCTGCAACAATCGAACTCTTTATAAAATTGAAAAATCAACATCTGTAGCAAGGGATATGAGGACATACAACTTCAAGATTCTCAGCCTTTTTAAAACCCACAACAATAGAAGTGGCCAAATCAGACTTTCAGCAGGAGATATTATCATTTATTCTTGACTTAAAGATCCCCACAGAGTGTAGCAGTAATGATAACAGCAGAGGTAGCAGAGGTAATGTTAGAAATGGAGCCTATATCACTACGATTGATAAATGCAAGATTTAATGCCAAAGGTCGTGAGATAACCGTTATTCAATATTAAGCGCCTATAATTTGAGCCTATATCACAGCGATTAATAGATGTAAGATTTAATACCAACGGCGGTACGACGATCGTTATTCAATATTATGAACCCACAATTGCAGCAAAAGCAGAAGAAAAAAACATATAATAATGTTTGTCAAGCTCGTTTATACCGCACGTTAAAAAAAAATCTGAGTGCTAAAATTGAAAAATAAAGCCGTTCCATCTAGGCCCCGTACTGGCGTTTGTGAAAAAAAACGTATCAGTACATTAACTTGGCTTGTGTGTTTTGCCCTTCAAATGTCTATAAGGAAATAAATATTGCATTAAACCTAACTTTAAGCCTCGCCTATCCAGCCGAAACAACACCAACGATAACCACAACCACAATAACAAATAAAATACTTAAAAAAAACTTTAAAAAAAAAACACGTTTTTCTTGTGGACTAAAAAGTAGAAAATAACTATTTACATACATTTGATGACAAAAAACGTGGGTACGTTACCATCAAATTTCCCAACCCATCTGCCCGACCCACGTTTTTTGTCATCAAATGTATGTAAATAGTTATTTTCTACTTTTTAGTCCACAAGAAAAACGTGGTTTTTTAAAAAGTTTTTTTTAAGTATTTTATTTTCTCCTTTTTAGTCCGTTGCTACACATGAAAAACGTGGTTTTTTAAAAAGTTTTTTATATAGTTTATTTTCTACTTTATCTAATGACTTGATTAAGTATGACTTGACTAAGTGTTTATAAATACACGGACTAAAAATCTTGAGCGACCAGGATTCGAACCTGGGTTGTCGCGGCCAC